ATTCAGTATATATCTATTATATTCCGTATATTATTTGTAATTTTCTTTATTATTTTCATATATATTTTTTCATAGGGTACTATAACCTGTGAAAAAATACTTATAGCCCCATTAAAGAACCTGCAGATATAGAACCCTTAGCTAAAAAAAAGGTTAAAGAAGTTAAAATGTTTGTGGTTAGCCTATTGGAAGATTTAGATAAGAAGAAGCATGATAATTTTGATAATAAAAACCCACCACATAAAGAAAAATTCCAACCAACTACCGATCCTGAATATCATCAAAAATCAGTTAAAACTGGTTGTGATAATGGAAAATCAGGTATGGACTATATGGAAGAACCAAATAGTCTTAATGATCATGAGAAATTCAGCAGCTTCCAAAAACCTGCTGTTATAGGTTGTGTTGATGGAAAAACCAACCTTGAACCTTGCAATAAAAATGGAATTGAAATTGAAAAAAAGAAGTATGAATGGTATCTGAACAAAGCAGAAGATAACAATACAGAGTCAGCAGTAATGGACCATAATGATGAGAAGAAATCTCCCAATAGAACATGTGATATTGGTAACAGCTATCAACATAGAATCAGCGTAGAAGAGAATAAAAATAAAGTTTTTGAATGATATTCAAAAAATGCTGAAAGAAATCTGAAGAAGCAACCTAATTTTAAACTTTACAATCAAAATAACAAAGAAGTCAAAAAGACAGAATTGGAATGGAATAAGAAACCTGCTAAAAATAGAAATCCTAAAGTTCAAGAAGCCTATATGAACAGAGAAAAAGCCCTGTATCAACAAAAATGTAAAGCAAAAACCACTCCTATTAAACTGATAAAATATAAGAAGTTAAGTAGGCAAAGGCATCAGAAATTAAAATACCATAGTGCAATAAATTAGTATAGAAAACTATTTTACGTCTACACCTACTTAACAATCAGAAACTATCTTGCCCTAAAGAAACTGAACTTTCAACAGACTGTTTATTTGCTTCAGTTTCATAATTATAACTTGGTTATAAATCTTTCCAGGGAACTAATTCTGCTATAAGAATGGATTATTAAAGAATCTCAGCAAAAACTCGTCTGATGGAAAATTATAAAGGAATTCAGTATAGATCTTGGGATTGAAGAGAAAATTGTTAGTGATGAATATGCATACCAATTTGTAAGAAGCTTTGGTATGATAAATATAATAGAAAAAAGATAAAATAAATTATAAAAAAAATCTTAGATTAAAGGATATAACAAGAATACTGGTTGGTTATGACTTCTATATATGAGGTGAGGCACATAAGATGAAAAGAAATCTATCCTGATGTAATAAAATTGAACTATATAACAAAAGAAATGTTAATTTCAAAAAATTGTACTTGTATAAATCATGAAAATTAGCCTGGTACTGGTATATAAATAAGTACTGTGCATCAAGGTGGTATATTTACCTGTAAGACTTGAAAAAATAGCCAAATACTGTTATGTAAATAAGTACTACATGAGACAAGCAGAGGAATTGACTAGTATTTTAGCATTTGATATGATATTTCTACTGGGATATGTGAAGTTGGTTATTGATTTCAAAATGGAATCAGAATTAAAAAGAATGAACCTAAAGCATGTGTGAAAAACAACTTACCCAAAGCTTAGATCCTAGTATAGAAGTTCAACGTTAATTCCAATTCTGTATAGAAGGTTAGCAGCCTAGTATAAAGATAATTGAAAAAGCTTTAATTTTATTTTATTTTGTTCTATTTTATTTTTTTTTCTTTTTCTGTTATTGTTTTATTCTTTATTGTTAGTTTCTTTTTGTATTGGTTTTCTCATAGAACTCAAAAATGAGATTAGGAGTAAGTAAAAGAGTAGATCATTGCTTGTAATAGGTTTTTCTATATTTGATAGATTGAATGAATATTTAGTTTAGCCAAGTTGGGCATTTGTACATTTTGAACATATAGCACATATGCCATATATAGAACATATAGCACATATTCCACATAGCTAACATAGTGAACATATTTCACATAGTTAACATAGCGAACTTAGTAAATATATTCCACATAATCAACATAGCAAACATAATGCTTATGTACTAATAATTTTAAAAAGGTATAAAATACCCACCCTTATGCTCTAATAAAGATTAACTCAATGAGTTCAAAAGTATATTAAGAATAAAGATAACCCTTGAGTTCCAAAATCTTCAAAATTAAAGTAGAAGTGTTGGATTCTAACTCTTCTCGATAAATAAATTCTGCATTGATGAAAGGAATTTGTAACCAAATTCTGTAACTCTGTATAAAAAAATTCGTGATGTAATCAAGAGCTCTAATCTGACACTATCACTAAGAACCCAATTCACCCTGATTACTTGGACCAAGTCTATTTATGCCTCGATTATTGCCTTACCAATATTAGGGTTTGGCTATATTAGTTTTGTTTCTGGTTAGAGTGGTTTAGTTAGTTTTAGTATTGTATAGTAGTGTATATTGGTGTCATTTAAAACCTTAGAATTATTTTGCCTTTCTCAGTGTTCTCAATTTTTTTAGTTTTTAATTATTTCTAATTTTTGATATTTAATTTATAATACAAAATAAACTTTAAGTATTTTAATTATTAGTTTTTAAGTTTTTAGCTCTTTGACCTGGATACTGCTCTGAGAAGGTGTTCTCAATTTTTTAGTTTTTAATTATTTCTAATTTTCATTATTTAATTTATTAGTATTTAAATTTTGCAAGTTTTTAGAATATTAAGTTTTTTAGCTCTCTGATCCAGGTGCTGCTTTAGAGGCGTGTTCTCAATTTTTTTTAGTTTTTAATTATTTTTAATTTTTGTTATTTAAATTTTGCAAGTATTTAAAATATTAGTTTTAATTTTTTAGTTCTCTGACCAGGCGATACTCTGGTTGCTTGGTCTCAATTTTTTAGTTTTAATTATCTTTATTTTTCATTATTAAATTTAAAAATTGCAAGTTTTTAAAATAGAATATAGATTTTAAGTTTGTTAATTTAGTTTTTAAATATTTTAGCTTCTCAACCTAGATGATGCCTTAGGGGTGCAGTCTCAATTTTTTTTAGTTGTTAAATTCAAGTAAATCTAATTTAGATTTACTTTAACCCAGGTTAGGTTCACTTAAACTCCTATTTGGGTTTATTTAAACTGTATTTGGGTTCAATGAAACCAATTTGGGTTTACTTGAACTTGTGCTAGGTTCAAATAAATCCGGTAACTTGAAATAGGTTCAAATGAATGCTGGTTGGGTTTACTTAAATCTGGGTTGGTTTAAGTGAACCTGTATTTGGCTTATTTGGAGTTGGGTTGTGTTTAATTAGACCTGATTTGGGTTTATCTATACTTGTGTTGGGTTTAAGTAAACTTAATTTTAATGTAAACTCTCTTTTATAGTGTTGTATATGAACTCTCTTTTCACACCTTCATATACAAACTTTTTTTCACACTTTTGTATACAAACTCTCTTTTTATGCTTTTGTATACAAACTTTTTTTGTGCATTTGTATACAAACTCTCTTTTTATGCCTTCACATACAAACTCTATTTTACGACTTCATATACAAACTCTCTTTTTGCACCTTCACATACAAACTCTTTTTTTATAACTTTATATACAAACTCTCTTTTTGTAACTTCACATGCAAACTCTATTTTTTGCCTTCACATGCAAACATTATTTCTGTAACTTCACAAGCAAACTCTCTTTTCACACCTTTATATACAAACTTTTTTTCACTTTTGTATACAAATTCTCTTTTTATGCCTTTATATACAAACTTTTTTTCATATCTTTATATGCAAACTCTCTTTTTGTGTCTTTATATGCAAACTCTATTTCTATGACTTTGTATAAAACACTCTTTTTGCAACTTTGTATACAAGCTCTCTTTTTATATCTTCACATACAAACTCTCTTTTTGTAACTTCGTATGCAATCTCTTTTTTTGTGACTTGCATACAAACTCTCTTTTTGTGCCTTCACATTCAAACTCTCTTTTTATAACTTCTTATACAAACTTTCTTTTTGCAACTTTGCATGCAAACTCTCTTTTCACAACTTCATATACAAACTCTCTTTTCATGACTTCACATACAAACTCTCTTTTCGTGATTTTACATACAAACTCTCTTTTTACTACTTTGCATGCAAACTCTCTTTTTGCAACTTTGTATGCAAACTCTCTTTTTATGCCTTTGCATGCAAACTTTATTTCTGTGATTTTACATACAAATTCTCTTTTTGTGATTTCGCATACAAACTCTCTTTTCATGATTTTGCATACAAACTCTCTTTCATGACTTTACATTCAAACTCTCTTTTCATGACTTCACATGCAAACTCTCTTTTTATGACTTAATATGCAAACTCTCTTTTTGTAACTTTATATGCAAACTTTCTTTTTGTGACTTCGCATACAAACTCTCTTTTCACAACATTGCATATAAACATTTTTTTGCAACTTTGTATACAAACTCTTTTTTTGTGCCTTTATATGCAAACTCAATTTTTGCAACTTTGTATGCAAACTCTCTTTTTACACTTTTGTATACAAACTTTCTTTTCGCGACTTCGTATGCAAACTTTATTTCTGCAACTTTGTATGCAAAGTTTCTTTTTGTATCTTTGTATAAAAACTCTATTTTAGCGGCTTCGCATACTTTACATGCAAACTTTCTTTTCGCTACTTTGCATACAAACTTTCTTTTCATGACTTTGTATATAACTTTCTTTTGGCAACTTTGTATACAAACTTTATTTTTGTAACTTCATATACAAACTCTTTTTTCACTACATTGTATGCAAACTCTCTTTTTATAGCTTTTGCATGCAAACTTCTTCTTGTAACTTCACATGTAAACATTCTTTTTGTGATTTCACATGCAAATACTCTTTTCATGACTTCATATACAAATACTTTTTTCATGACTTCACATGCAAACACTCTTTTTGCAACTTCGTATACAAACTTTCTTTTTGTGACTTTATATACAAACTATTTTTTTGCAACTTTGCATGCAAACTTTCTTTTCATGCCTTCATATATAAACTCTTTTTTTATATCTTTGTATACAAACTCTTTTATTATGCCTTTGCATGAGACATTTTTTATGCTATCAAATATAGTATTTTCTTTTTGCGACTTCACATGCAAACTTTCTTTTTGTAACTTCATATACAAACTCTTTTTTTGTAACTTCGCATACAAACTCTCTTTTTGTAACTTCACAAGCTAACTCTTTTTTTATGACTTTGTATGCAAAGTCTATTTTTTGACTTTGCATACAAAGTCTCTTTTCATGACTTCATATGCAAAATCTTTTTTTGCAACTTTATATGCAAACTCTCTTTTCATAACTTTGCATACAAAGTCTTTTTTTAAGACTTTGCATTCAAACTCTCTTCTTGCAACTTTGCATATAAATACTTTTTTCATGACTTTGTATGCAAACTCTCTTTTATAACTTTGTATACAAACTCTCTTTTTATAACTTTATATGCATACTCTCTTTTCATGACTTTGTATACAAACTCTCTTTCAGGACTTTGTATACAAATTCTTTTTTTGCAATTTTGTTTACAAACTCTTTTTTTGCAACTCTGTATGCAAACTCTTTTTT